GTTTCATGCTCAATGATCAATATGCAAACCAACAAATGCTTGTACAGGTAGTCCTTGTTTAATGACCACTCGTTCAGCGACTGTTCAAATTTGCACAAAAAATGTCTTACTCAAGTGTAACAAAATGACTCCTTTTGTTTATTTCTGACATTTCTATGCTGCTATACTCCAGCTGGCTCCAAGCAGTATATACAAGAAATCAAAGGTTAAAAAACAAGTTTATGTTGTAATGACACTGATCAAAAGAAATAAAGCCCAAAATCTAATGTCACCCAAATTCTATCTCCTAAAGCTAAATTTTCACTTCTTTATGGAAATGTTTTAGGGACCTATTTTACATATAAAATAGGAGTGGTGGCACCATTAACCAGCATGCTGAATTACACCTGGAAGCTGACTGGTTTCCATGGGCAAATCTGAAAGCATCCATCCTAGCTGGACCACTGCATGTCGAACCAATTTCAGCTTCTGAATGGTCTTCACGTGCAGCCCCAGGTATGGCAAATTGCAGTAGTCCACTCATGAGGTAACAAGGGTGTGAGTGATCATGTACAGTGCCACCTGATCCAGGAATGGTTACAATTGGCACATCAAATGTAATTGTGCAAAGGCTCTCCTGGCCACATTCTCTCCCTGCTGGTCAAGCAGTAGCTGTGAGTGACTCATGAGAAACATTATAACATACTATAAGACAAGGTAGTAAATTGTAAGCCAACTGGAATGGAGGAATGTTTCTTCTTGAGCATAAAGAAACAAGCAAGTTGTCTCCATACACAAAAAAGCTTAAGCTATATATTGGGATTCATTATACCATTATCTTATATATCTAATGGGTTTGTGGTTTATTTTCACCTTGGTGGTTCTATATGAATCAGGTTATTGATTGAACTAATTCAGTTTCCTGACTAGCTCCCTAACATCCTTTTAGCTAAAAGAGTTGAGGGTTGTGCATGAAACCTGGAAAGTCGGTAATATTCTGCTGTAATACTGTATTGTTTTTAAACCTATAGGGTTTTTTTTTTTTATTGAAGGGGTAAATATCTGTGGTAGAAGAATAAGTACTGCCTTTTTCTCTTTATACAATGATCTTCCAAACATTGTTGCTCAATGTTCAAGCAATCTGCCTCTATTATAATAATGGTGTTTAACTTCAGCAATAATAAAATATATTGTCACATATTTCAGTTAGAAAGATGACTACTAGAAGGAAAATGAAGCAGTGCTTGGCTAAATGATAAAGGGAATCAATGAATGACTCACCTTGGGTCAACTAGTGCTCAGATTGTCAATAATGTTAATGGATATGGAAGGAAAAATAAATAAAACAGCAAACTCCAATCATAAGGAGGCTAAGTTAAATGACATTCCTCACCGTCCCAAAAGTTATGGGAAAATGAATTAGAAAAATCAAGAACAAAGCAATATATAAATACAGTAATATATTAGTAAATTATTTATTTTAAAGAAGAGCAATGTGCTTTTCAATATTTTCATCTTGACTTCCATTTATAAAACTCATGACTGGCTATTTACCCTGTACATATTTGCACAACCATTAATAACCATCAACTCTGGCTATTAAAGAACTTTTTTGTAAATATCAAATTTGCTGCTGTTTGTATCAGTCTTTTTTGATGGGTGAAAGATTGTTTCTTTGTTTTTGTAACAGCAAAGTATTGAGCAAAATACATCATTATACAGTATGGATCTAGGAGTACTTTTCTTTTTTGCAGTGTCTTTGGAGCTAGTTCTTGCTAGTGTATTCATGGCAGATTTCTGATCAATGACATTCAGTTCCTGTGTACAGAAGTAAAATGTGCACATCAAATCCCCTGTTAACATTTATTATACTATGTTTTATTGAAACTATACAATGAGAACTCCCACAGCCCAGAGGGCATGAATGGCACAATGTATCACTTTGTATTTTTTTATAATAGAGGTCCACTGTTAAGAAGTCACCATTCTTCTTAGAACTATAAACATAAGCAATAATGAGTATAACATTTTGGTAAACTTCATATTTGCATGTTGTACTTATGTACTTGTGTGAAGGACAAGAACATTACATTCCTAATAAAACTATCTTTCCATCTTTGCTCCAGTTGGATCATAGAGAAAAGATTTATTCTATTTTTTTGTGTGTGTATGTGACAGGAAGTGCATTTATAATCCTGACCAGCAGCCAGATTACTTCAGCCAAGATTAAAATTACTTTTACATCCTGTAGCCTTTTTAATAATCCACTGATGTTGGTTTTAATAAAGAGCATGTGTGGCATGTCAAAATGTTATATGGAAAAGATGCTTAGAAGATTTTATGGAAAACAACTGCATAATATTTATAAATTGGTTTAGCATTCATACATTTCTACTAATATTTATTACTGGATTAGTTATGCAATCTCTTTCATCCTTATTACAATAAAAACAAGCTACCCATTCTTACATTCCATGATTTCACAATAATTGCTACAATGTTTACAGTAGATAATGTATATTGGCTACCTTTTTTATATAATACAATAATTACTTGTACATTTGAGTATAGTGTATTTTAAGCAGTAAATCTTTTATATCTTTTATATGCTAGAAAAGTGTTACTGTGTAGTCATGGAGGATATAGAGTTGTGAAACTTGGATTTTAGTATCAGCATCTTACCTTTTTAGTTTGGACAATCCAATGCTGTAAAGATTTTACTAAGACAACTATAAATGATTTTAAGCGTACATGTATTTAAAAGCAAGGTTATCATTGAGCGATAACCAGGCATTGCACTCAAATATAAAACTTAGGCATATACGTTTCCTATTAGCCAATGCCACTCTTGGCAAGAACTGCATAACCTCAACATCCTTGGCTGCTTCAGAGGAGAAAAGGTGGCTCTAAATCCTGAAGACGCCCAAGTTCAGAAGTATGAATTAAAACTTGAGTAGACTTTGCACTAGTTCCATCATCCATTTTGAGTTTTTCAGAACAATAGTCTCTGGGTGAGTATAGGTCCAAGTGACTTAATCTGCAAATAGACTCCAGTGGCTTTCAACTAGTTGCAGCCCAAAGTCCTTCATTACTTGACATGGCTCTGTTGGATGGTATGGGTAAATGTCCTGAAATATTAACATGTCTATTGCTACCACAGAGTAAAATTGTAAATGAATGTTACAAATCTTTTATTGTATTTAAATATGTTGCTATATGGGCTCTAGTCACTTCATTGCTTTTCATCCCTCCGAGTACTAGGTAACTGACAAAACAACTGAACAGAGGACAATTGGTAATGTGTAGAGATCTGGTCTTCAGTAGGTCCTCTCCAGCTAACTTTTGTAAGACAAAACACCCCTTGAAGATCTGCACAATGTTGATGTATATTAAATGACATGACAGACAAGAAGTAATTCTGGGGAGACTGCTACCTTACATGTCATTAGGGTTAAGGAAAATTCTATTATGAAGCTTTCTGGAAATTTGTGCATGTAGGAGTTAAACTATCACAAAACGTTTAATTCATAGAGCCAATCCACCTCATTTCCTAGAAGTGATTCATTGGGATAACTCACAGATGTTTCCACTGAAAATAGGCCTAAAGTCAGACTATAACTTCTATTACCCCAGCCAGCATGGCCAGTGATCAAGAATGATGCGAATTTGGAGGGCTACTGTTTCTGTAATCTAATACCTGATGGCAACTAATTATGTGATTTCTTTATTGCTGATTTAAGTACAAGCACCAGATTGTACTGAACATTAGAACTTCAAATGATGAGACCATTAGGATTGGGATGAAATAGGATTGTTATGAAAAGTGCAACTTGTAAAAAATTGAAGCACATAGCTTTTAGAAAAGTTAATCCTCCCCCTTTTCCCCATTGTATTTTTTCTTCAGGTTCATGTTTCAGTGTATTTACATAGGTCTGGCTTGGCGGCTACTCTTTTCTTGTAGGGAACAAAACCAAATAAATATGTGATTCTGACCAATCAGAGAGCATGTGAGGGAAAGATTATATCTTAACATGATATAGAAACTTAGATTATCATATTTCACTACATAATAAAGGATTAGTAATAATAATAACATTAATAAACATTTTCTCAAGAAGATTTTTCTTCACTCCAAAAATGTTTTTAAAAAGTGATTAATTTGTGATGATAATAGATGGTATTAGATTGCTGAATGCATATAATACTACAAAGATGGTATGTGTTTTAACTATTCATATAGCCATGAGAATTTGAAAACTGTTTTATCAAGAAAATGAAATGGAAATAAAACTTTTATAACCAGCAGAATAATGTCCTGGAAATCTCTTACAATTTTATGCTTGTATCAATCACACAATATTTCATTTAGATAGAAACTTAAGTTAAAATGAGTTTAATTCCAAATGAAAATGTAAAATAATGTAATTCTAGGTCTATCAAAACAGATATACATGGTTAGCATCTTTCTCATAGAAGTTCTTAGACTTGTAAATGCTAATAAATTTGGTTAGAGAGCTGATCTGAGGTTTGATAAGATCTTTCTTAAATTCAGTGTATTAAACTAGCAGCTCAGGCACTTGATATATTTATCACGCAATATGCCTTGGGGTTTTTCTATTTACTGTTACCATTTAAATTTCATAAGTGGAAATTATTTTAACAACAGGCAGGTATATTGCTTCTTTACTTTGGATAATCAGAGAATAACACATAATTGCTCAGTTCTCCTCTCAGGTGAACCACTCATATAATTGCTCAATTCAACTCTCAGTTCACCTCTCTTTACTCTCTGTAAAACTCATTTATAATACTACTCCTAACATTCTTACTGCCTGATTTCTTTCTACCCCTTAATCTTATTTATTCTCCTGGAAAATTCTCTCCCTTTCCCGATACTGACTCCCCAATCCTGCACCAATACACATGGTAATATAGGAAAATGTTATTTGGTGCTGTTAGTATTAAATCAGGTATTAAACAAGGAAGTTTTGGAATAGTAAATACTCTCCCAAAGGTGGTGATATGTTGTAAGTTGCTCCTGAAAAGCTGGAAGCTTGTAATATTTTTGTTCTTTTGAATGCAATTAAATAATTCTTAAGATCATCCATTGATGACTGGCTCACTTTCTTACTGGCTGACTTTTTTCTATTTATTTCTTTCAGCATATTCATCATTAACTGAAAAATAGGAAACAATTGCATGAAATCAAATATGTGGACAAAAAAGTGAATTATTTCTCCTGAAACCAAACAACTATTTTGATCCTTTGTATAAATCTGAGCTTATCACGGTAAGAGTTTCATGTTTACCTTTTGTTAATATTTATAGTACACCAATCTACTGGAAATAATTACATGGAGAAAGTTTGCAATTGATTACTGTGACTTTTTGTTAATCCCTTGTTTTCAGAGAAAACTGTTTCAAACCATTGTCTTTTGACTGATGCACATACGCATATCACTCAATTACTTACAGTGGAATCTGTAAACTTTTTGAAAAGTATTCCGTTTGCAGAAGAAGATGTAGGATGATTAGAAAATGCTCCTCTGTGGTGTTGAATATTTGATGCTTGTTTTATAAGGTCAAGCCATAATTTGAAATTTCAGATGTAGTGTGATGAGTATATGTGTATAATATAGAGAAGATGAAACTGTCTTTTAATCTAGCTGAATCACATCTCCCAGTTTCCCTAGTGATTTGGCTAATTGTGAAAGATGCTTGGAGTCATTCAGCATTTGTAAGGGCACAGATTCTCCATATTTGGTTTTCATTTTTGTTTGTGTTACAGTATCCAAATTACTAACCACATAGACTTGAATATCCTCAAAGCTGTAGAGGAAAAAAAAAAATGTATGGAAGGATGGTTCAAAAACTGATGATATATGGCATTT